CACTGCAATTGCGTTCTTCCACAAAAAAATGGAAAGAACAGAGGGGTTTTTCTGGCATTGGTAATCCTTTATCTATGAGGAAGACGGAGAAGAGGGAGTTCTTTCAGAAGAAGAGGAAAGAAGAAAAAGCACAGGTGCCTGGTGGCCACTCCATCAATAGCAATCACAGCTTACACGCGAGAGAGTGTCCATTCAGTCTTGACGCTACCTGTCGAAAAAGCAGATTGCATTTTCGATGCACTTTTGTAGTATGGACGGTCTCTTTTGGAAGAAGTTTTTTTCGGAAGATCTATTCTGAAAAAAGCTTCTTCTGAAAGAAGCCTGGAGTCTAGATGTAGCCTTTGAGAGAGGGAATCATTTAGCAGGGGTGGGGAACCTCTTTAGAGCTGGTGGCTGCTGATCCACAGAAAAATAAAAAAGCCCTCACTGACGTGGCCCCTGACTGAGGAGAAAGACACTCCGCACATTCTCTTTGCGCACCAGAGCCTCGAGACCCAGACTCAGGGGCCAGATCCAGGCAAGCTGGAGGCCTTAGGTTCCCCACTCTTGATTTAGGGCCTACACCACCAGTGAAATGGGGAAGGTCTCATTAACCCCAGTTGGCTCTGGACTGGGCCCATAGGGAGGGAGAAGATAATAGCATTATAGACTTGGAGAAAATGTAAAACTTTCCCTCTTCTTGGCAATACAAACCTTACCCAAGTCATCATTCCTAGGCAAATTAGGCGACTGTAAGATTTATTGGCTGGTTAAGTGTTTAAATTTCATTTTCTGTCAGCACACTCATACAAAGTTATTGCATGTGTAATGTTCCACCTGTTTTGGAGCCTGTTGGGTCAAATGAGCGTGGGAGTAGTGCAGGCTGCCTGCTCAGAAGCAGCATCATGGTTGTTTAGGAGGTTGGTTTGTTTTGAAACAAGGGGAGCCCGAAGCAGCTGCCTGTGGGGGTGTGACAGTCTGGAGAATGCCAAAGTTTCCAGGGCAGTTGAAGCGGGGTGATCTAAAGCCAGGTATTAGATACTTCTGTACCGGCTATGCCTGGGTGGTTGGCACAGCTAAGGCTGGGGGAGGCAGGCCCCCAGCTCCACCTACAGCCTCGCCCACTCTGTGGAGGCCCCATCTCCATCATGGAGTGGGGAGAAGGCTGAGCAGTGTGTGGATGCCTGGGAAGGGGGGCCCCCCAGCCTGAACCCCCCCCCCCCCCCCCACAGGGAGGGGAAGAGAGGGTAGGAAGTGAGCGCACGTATCCTAGCACAGGGAAGGGAGGAGGCTGCTGGCCAGAGCCTCCCCAGACCATGGGGGAGGGAGGAGGCCCTTTGGCTCCAGCCTCCTCAGCCCTGGAGCACAGGGAGGGCAGGTGCTGGGGGCAGCAACACTCTGCCTCCAGAACACCTACAGCAGGCATTGTGGGGGTGGAGTGTGCGCGGGACTGTGCCTGGCAGTTTGTGTCTGAGAATATAATACAGTTTAACATGATGTTATACCTGGGACAGTTTTTTGAGTGCAGAAGACCAGGCAGCAATGTCCCCCTGGTGACGCTGCTGTGAGCAGACCAAACAGTGCAGGGTTGAAATGCACTGGAGGGAGACTGACCAGCACCGGGAGAGCAAATAAAAACCTATGGTTGTGATGTAAGAGGAAAAGTTAAAGGAAGAACACAACAGTTAAACAAAAGGGGAAAAAAACTAATGAGTCTCTGAAGCAATCTAGGAAATTGTTAGAAAAACATTGTTAGAAAACTGAGGAAAGTAATGCAAGAAGGAAATGGGAAGGAAATAAGCTGTAATAAAACATAAACTGTAATGAAAGAGAACAACTATAAGAAATAAGGAGAAAGTATTTAGTAAAAGTAAGAAAATGGTAAGGATTATAAAACAAAATATTCAGATATCAATTTAAAGTATATAAGGCGAAGAAATTGTCAGTGAAATTGTCAGTGAAAATTGTTCAATCAAGAAGCGGACACAGTAAGGAATACAGGCAGTCCCCGGGTTACGAACAAGATAGGGACTGTAGGTTTGTACTTAAGTTGAATCTGTATGTAAGTCGGAACTGGCGTCCAGATTCAGCTGCTGCTGAAACTGACCAGCGGCTGACTACAGAAAGCCCGAGGCAGAGTTGCTCTGCCCCGGGCTTCCTGGAATCAGCCTCTCAAGAAGCGGACACAGTAAGGAATACAGGCAGTCCCCGGGTTACGAACAAGATAGGGACTGTAGGTTTGTACTTAAGTTGAATCTGTATGTAAGTCGGAACTGGCGTCCAGATTCAGCTGCTGCTGAAACTGACCAGCGGCTGACTACAGAAAGCCCGAGGCAGAGTTGCTCTGCCCCGGGCTTCCTGGAATCAGCCTCT